GAAATTATTGATGTGTTTATAACTACAGATTGTGAGACATACAGCGAGTTCGAGCGAACGCCTAGATTTAATACTTAGGTTAACTTAGGCTACGTTTTACGGATAACTTTCCGTAGCGACGTGAGAAACATTGATCCGTTCAATAAACTAAATAGTATTAGTGAGGATATCAAGACAGCCGCGGAAGAATTTCGTATTTTCAAGCGAAGCTCTTGTCTGCACGTGGAGTTAGTTGAAGCGAAGCTGTTAAGCCTGGAATGTACAGCAAGCTGAGCGAAACGACATCCCTCCGAACAATTCTTCTGAAAATATAGCGTTGTAAAAGGATGTGCTGTTTATCTCAAACATGTATTATTCTGTTAACGTCTTTATTTGAATTCTATTTCAGAGTGACGATAACTACAAATTTATAGTTTGCTGCCGACCCTTGACCGCGCACGTGATTCGATAAACACTCTTCGGAATGAAGACCTCTAAGCAGCTATCCATATCGACCGCATTAAAGCACGAAGCTGCTAGACGGGTGAGATTCTGGCTCGCCTTCTTTTCAACCTCGTTAAAGACCATAACAGCGACTATGTCAACGGGATGGTCGCAGTAACCGCGGCTGTATTCAACATCAATGATGAATCTTGGCGGACAATCGACTTCGTCGCAACAGCCTATTTCGCTGAAGTTCTATACAAGGTAAAACATCATTTATATACTTTGTGTATAAAATGGGCACTCAAGGAGTGCGTAAGGATTTGCAATTTGTTGTCAATTTTTATATAATGCAAGAAAGGTTGAAAACAAAACGTGCATGAGAAATCTTTTTTTCGAATGTCAACTTTTGTTTAATTACTGTTATATTTAAAGTTAATCTACTACAACTTTTTAAATAGCTTTATCACTGCCTCAAAGATAAAAGAAAAACTGAATTTGTTTGGATGAAAAACAACAAAATTATTTCGAAGTTTGAAGTTTCCGCATTCTGCAACAAGGCAATTTACTAAAAAATGGAACAATACAGTTTTCATAGTGGAAACACCACTTTTGATTTATAAAGCATAATTTGCGTAATTTATACGGCAACAGGTAATTTATTAGAGAGATGAGTGCATAAAGTATTTAGGATATTTTGAAGCTAAATTTGTTTAAAATTTGTCATTTTAGATCTTTTCTGGTTGTCTTTGTTGTTGCAAGGAGACATTGGGCATTGTAATGAATGGATGACAATGTGTGTCGCGGGCAAATCTACACCATGTGCATTTTCTTATTGGATATCTTGGGCAAATGTGCAATATCACGAGGGATATCTTGGGCAAATATCTTGTATAAATTGGTTTGATAATTTACTAAAGAAGGATGATGTTGTAAGGTTAGTGTATATTTATAATAGCGATAAAATGTTTAAAAGCAACTAGCAACAAAAATATTTTCTGGGGGAGAGGCCTGCCTAGTTCTATAGCTTTAACCCAACAGGTGGGAAAATTGTCGTCGCTGACCAAATTTATCGCGGCTGCTTGGAGGGGGGAGGGTCTCGTCATGAAATCACGAAGATCATTTTTCGATTTCACGAGTCACAAAAAACAAAATTTCATTTTCAAATTTCAAGTGTAACACAGTCTGAAACCATTTAACACATACTGACTTTAACATTAGAGCCGTTTAAAGGACAATGCTTGACTGATTTTATGCGCTATTGATTTCTTTACAAAAAGTTTCAACTGAATTGCAGTTTTTATACACCCTGTGTAGTGTACCTTTTTCCATTTACTGTTGTATTTATAAGTTTAGATATACTTTATATACCCGGATGAAATGAGAATGAGAGTTGACAGTTACATGTTCTAGATTAACTGTTCTTAATGCTTTCAAACACTATCATGTATTTTATTTAAGTTAAAACATAACACTCGTCAAACTTCTATTTTGTTGTTGTGATGTTATTCTGAGTGTGTATCCACACCAAGCGAGCTTGAAAAATATGCCTGGCCACGGTGGGAATTGAACCTACGACCTTTGGAATACTAGCCCAATGCTTTGCCAACTGAGCTACGCGGTCAGGTCGGTTCGAGGATGCGATATTTCTGAACTGAGTCTAGTTCCTTTTATTTTGTGAATCTAAAGCTTGAATTGCATGAAAACTTAGTCTTTTAAAACGGGCCTTAGAATCTTAGAATTTAACCCTTTTAATAATTACAAGTAAAAGTTATGGCATAATTTTAATTTTGTTTTTTGTTACTACATAGTTTCCGACTCGTCTTATGACTGACTCATCTGTGCAGAAGAGACTGCGCTAAAGAGACAACTTTCTGACGGACGAAGTATCAAAACAATACCCGAAGACTTCCTTTCGTAGAGAAGTTGGATTATGGAACATTTATTCTGGTGGTAAAGCAAGCAGCATATTGATGAAGGCAGATACCAATGTTCTCTTGGGCAAGTCTTTTATTCTTTTTCAATTCTGTCTAGATATGTGTTTATGTGTGTGTATAAATGTGTGTGTATTAAGCCTGGGTTTCCATTAAATCGTAATTATCACAAGAACCGTATCGCAAGCATTGCAACGATTTTAAAAACACAATAATTTTAATAAACTATGATTTATTGGAAACTTGAGTCACACCGATCACTAAGACTCCTGCGACAAAATGCAAAGATAGACTTACTGCGATTTTTGTGATAGCGATGTCTGCGTTCCACAACTATTGCGATGATTACGATTTAATGGATAACAGGCTTTATTTTCTTCTTCAATATGAAACTGTAAACACCTAGTACGTGGTCACCTTCGGATGCAGTGCTTTATTTTGAAATTCGGTTGCTTGCAGTTTTTATATTTAGCATATCATTTCGTTTTCTTCCCTATATATGCCAAAATGTGTGCAGAGATTTTGCTTGAAATGCCCTGTTCATCAAAACCCTAAAACATTGTGCCAGCATGTTGCATAGGTTGTGAAACGCAAAGATTTCAACCGTTAAAAAAATAGTTTAATTTAAAAATAACTGAGAAATTTTAAGAAAATGTTCGAGCAATCCGGAGAGATTTGTACAAACGGATCAGGATGCCATACAACATACATTGATTTCCTTTAACGAATTATTAATTATGATGCGACGGACAATTCCGTGTTGATGCATGATCAGTACAGTATAACTAATTGTTAACTTCAGATTAATGCGAGAGATGTATACAGCTACCTGAAAAATACTCCAAGTATACTAAAAGAGTCAAAGCCATTCATCAGGCAATTACAGTAGCTGCATCATATTTGTGTCTGCAAAATATCATCTGTCGTACATGATCGTCATTAGTAAATATATAGTAAAGTATAGTAAATATTCATATTTTGCGCTATATAATCCTATTTAGCACTATAGGCTATAATCTTATTTTGCGCTATAGAAACATACACAACAGCATAAATCATAGATTCATGCACTGCATCAATTGAAGTAGATAACAATGTCATCAATATCTAATAATTTTGTATAATATAGTTGGAGTCTATACGCACATATACGTAATTTAATTTTGAGACCCAGTCTTACCAAAATTCTTCAGATATGACACAAATGCAAATTTAGTTTCGATTGCCATCAATTCAGAACATATTCATTAAAATTATTGCTGCATTCTGCTGGCAATAGTCTCGAAAAGCTTTGTTTTGTAGTCCACAAGTTAACTACACTTGTATTTATTTGGCAAAACTTTCAATAATATACAGTATGTATAGTGATGTAATAATAGCAAATAATTTTGTAATATAATACAAAGCAGGCAAGACATACAGTCGAACCTCTATTAAGCAGCCAGCCTCGGCAATCAGCTTTGTGGCAGCTTAATAGAGGCGGTCGTTAAATAAAGGGATAGTTCATAGTATTTGTATTACAAAAATGTCGGGACTTTGATATGTGGCCATTTAATATAATAGAGGGTGGCCGCTTAATGGAGGGTCGCTTAATAGAGGGTCAACTGTATATATATTTGGCAAAGCTTTCGATAAATGTGATGTGACAGTCAGAAAAAATCTGCATTTAAGGCTAAGGCTTAATTAAAATATACACACAACCTAAGAACAAAACACATGCACATCATTAATTATATTTATATGGATGATAATCAGCTTCGCTGGACCCAATGATTCGCTGCACAAATGCAATATTGTCAATAATTAGTATCTGAAATGTCTAGTTTGCTTTGTGTATATATACTAATACATTTATACAGACAATATAATATAAATAAGACATACAACTGATATATTGATGATTTCCTTTAATGAATTATTAATTATGATGCGACGGACAATTCCGTGTTGATGCATGATCAGTATAGTAAAACTTGTTAACTTCAGATTAATGCGAGAGATGTATACAGCTACCTGAAAAATACTCCAAGTATACTAAAAGAGTCAAAGCCATTCATCAGGCAATTACAGTAGCTGCATCGTATTTGTGTCTGCAAACTATCATCTGTCGTACATGATCATCATTAGTAAATATTCATATAGTAAAGTATAGTAAATATTCATATTTTGCGCTATATAATCCTATTTTGCGCTATAGGCTATAATCTTATTTTGCGCTATAGAAACATACACAAAAGCATAGATCATAGATTCATGCACTGCATCAATTGAAGTAGATAACAATGTCATCAATACCTAATAATTTTGTGTAATATAGTTGGAGTCTATACGCACATATATGTAATTTAATTTTGAGACCCAGTCTTGCCAAAATTCTTCAGATACGACACAAATGCAAATTTAATTTAGATTGTAATCAATTCAGAACATATTAATTAAAATGTGGCTATATATTAATTAGAAATTGTCATAAATCCACCGGTCGGTCCCAGGTATTGGTGACGGAAGGGTCTGGGTTCGAACGGGGTTATCGACACTCACAACGGGATGACAGAGTCTTCCATTTCAGCCAAGCAATCGTACGAAACTAATGCAACTGCATGGCATTTACGCGTTTAGCATTTTACGTTTACAGATTTGAGTTCATGTCGACTGATGTTTTATTTGACATATGGTCCAGGGGCTGAAGATATGCGTTAAATCGTTCACTGAACAAATTAAATACATGAACAAATAATATACATTAAATTTAAAAACACACACATATATATATATACCATCCAGAAGATATCCGTTAAATCGTTTACAACATTTTATACATAAACAAATAGCATACATTAAATTTAAAAATATTCACATATATACCATCGACAAGATATGTGTTAAATCGTTTACAACCTATTATATACATGAACAAATAATATACATTAAATTTTAAAATATTTGCATATATACCATCCAGAAGATGTGTGTTAAATCGTTTACAATATTATATATATCAACAAATAATATACATTAAGTTTAAAAACACACACACACACACACTTATTCTTTTTGCAGAGATCGAATCGCATGTGAGATCATGCAAAGGCTCGATCTGAAACCTACCTTGTGACCATTATTTTATAGGCTAATTTATATACATAAACAAATAGTATACATTAAATTTAAAAATATTCGCATATATACCATCCAGAAGATATTCGTTAAATTGTTTACAACATTACATACATGCACAAATAATATACACTAAATTTAAAAATATTCACATATATACCATTCGTTATTGCAATAAAATGATTCAGTTGATGTTGAATACAGTTACGGACTGCTACCATTTCATTGGCAAACTCGTTGTTATGGTCTTTTACGACATTAAAGAGAACATGAGCCATACCCTCGCCGTCCCCACTTTGTCCTGTTTTAATGGGGACGACATCCGCTTCGGTGTAACCGGTTAACAAGAATTTTGTCCTTGCACTTATCGCTTGGTGAATACACAATGAAGTAGGAAACTGCTGGAAAAATTGTCTCGTCGTTTCGCTGGGAGGTCTGCTCAACCGCAGTGATGGCCGAAACAAAAAATCGCACGCCTGGGACATTGTGCAACAATTCATCAAGTTGGACCCGCTTCGAAGAAATAGTACGACGTGCGAGACTTTGATCTCAGGTAGCCTTTGATGCGAACCTGCTTTGATGAATGTAATTTGGGAATTATGGGCTATAAAATATTTGTTATTGCAATAAATGATTCGGAACTAAAAAAAACAACTAGAAAGTCAGTTGACATTAATTTGAGTCTGTAAGTTAAAAACACATCGTGTATGTATGTATGTCAAAAAAACCTAGTTAGATTGGATTTTGCACGAATCTTTTCTAAGATGTTGATAGTATATTCATAGACAAAAACATAATATAACGAGAAAATAAATAATAAATAAATAATACGTGCTATATATATATATTTATTCTCAATGGTTGTGGATCCATCAAACCAAAAATATTCGCACGAAGCGAGTTCTTGACTCTCGTCGAATTAATCTGTCTTGAAGGCAATCGAGCTCCCGACGTTGCTAAAACCAACTGGTGGAGACAGAAGAAGCAAATGACAACAACCGGTCCCTGCCCCTGCGGTAATTATATCTACTTATAAAACAGCATAGTAAATGCACCTACACTAGAAAGTATATTAATAATGTTTTACCTTGTATAAGGCATAGCCCATCGCCTTCACAAACTTCTCGAACGTTCTAAGCGCTTCGTTTAAATCTTCCGTGGCCGACATTGCTTCAATTTCGTTGTCTACCAGCTGGCTCCGAAGAAGAAGCAAGAGGAGACTGCACATATCCTTTTTTCCCGTTTTTATATGTAATTAATTAAACATGCAAATAATATACATTAAATTTAAAAACACACGCATATATATACCATCCAGAAGATATCCGTTAAATCGTTTACAACATTTTATACATAAACAAATAGCATACATTAAATTTAAAAATATTCACATATATACCATCTACAAGATATGTGTTAAATCGTTTACAACATATTATATACATGAACAAATAATATACATTATTATATACCATCCAGAAGATATCCGTTAAATCGTTTACAACTTATATACATGAACAAATAGTATGCATTAAATTTAAAAATATTCACATATATACCATCCAGAAAATATTCGTTAAATTGTTTACAACATATTATATACATGAACAAAAAGTATGCGTTAAATTTTAGAATATTCGCATATATACTATCCAGAAAATATGTGTTAAATTGTTTAAAACATTTTACACGCATGAACAAATAATATACATTAAATTTTAAAATATTCACATATATACCATCCAGAAAATATGTGTAAATCGTCTTCAACATTTTATCATGAGGATCATCAGCATCATGAGGATCATCAGCATCATGAGGATCATCAGCATCATGAGGATCATCAGCATCATGAGGATCATCAGCATCATGAGGATCATCAGCATCTTGATCATGATCATCTTGATCATCATTATCTTGATCATCTGTTCGACTGGAAAGAAAAACAAAAAAGAAAATTTAATATTATGCCACGTAGAAACGCCGCAACAACTTTTATTTTCATAATCATTAAGACCGCGTTCACATTATATGTCGGAGCGAAATTGTTGGAAAACATCACTTTCTCCGCACAGCCCCCAAACGGAGCGAGATAAATACCGAGCGCTTAGCGGCTTCGCGTAAAAACAAATGCCATGTCCTCGTACCATTGTTCTTCTTGCCCAATTAAGTCGATGTTGTCGTTGATCATATCAGCCATCCAAGCAACACACAGTCCATGGCATGGTCATAAATCCACTGATAAGCCCCAGGTGTTGGTGACGGAAGGGGTTTGGTAAATGCTACACCTTCTGTAGACACTGTGGTTTTCGTCGCCGTAATTAGTTGGTCTATTTGTTGTTATGTAGAAAGGGCAGTCGAACAAAAGTTGAGGTTTGTTGGGAACACATCCCTGTTCGAGCACAGCTTGAATGGTCCTTGGGGCTATTAAAAATAAATTGTTCACAATGACCAATTCTGTTTCATTCCATATCATACCGGCTGAGAATTGCCCCTCAGTCGAGTCGTGACAGAAACAATCTTGTACTTTTCTGTACTTTTCTTACACGTTGTAATGGTTTAATGGGGACGACAATGGGAAGACCATTCATCGATGATGATTAATTGTGTGTCTTCCCGTTTCATACTTAGCTGAGAACTGTCCCTCGTTTGTGACGGAAAATATCTTGTCAACCGCGGTATGATACAATGGAAGATGGCAACCCAAGAAGTCTTCCCAGGAGCGTGCTCTTTCCTTGTCAATAAGTTCTGGCCGGTAAACTGGATTGTTCAGGGCTAGAATTAACTGGAGAAAGAAACAAGAAACAAAATTTAATATTATACCACACAGAAATGCGCAACATCTTTACTTTAATTTCATAATTGTTAAGACTATGTTCACACTACGCTAAAATGATAAACACAAAATGTTTAAAATGCTTTAAAACTTGCTTTAATAGATTGGATTTTGCACGAATCCTAATATAATAGTAATAGTGATGTATATTCACAGATAATATAATAATGAACAAGAAAAAGAACCTGCTATACATAATTCTAAATGGTCAAAGATCCACCAGTCGGTCCCAGGTATTGGTGACAAAAGGGTTCGGATTCGGAAAATGCGACTTCTCCAATATATGTACAGAAAATGTCGTTTTCGTTGCCAGGCAGGTGATTGGTTATGTTCATCAGACGTGACAGAAACAATCTTGTCAACCGGCATGATACGGTTAAAAATGGCGGACCAAGAAGTCTTCCCAGAGTTCTTGGGCCCAAGGAAAACTAGCTTACGTACTTTTTGTGGCATTTGATAAGCCACAAGGCACTGCTACAACTTGTTGAGCACTTTGACGTGCTGCCCCAGATCAGGGAATGAATTGATAATTCCTTCTGCGAAACAGAAGGTCTTCGAAAGTCTTCCTTTTGAAATATGAAGAATTGTCTTGTAGAAATCCGAAATGCACACCCATTCGACACTTCGATTACATCCAGGTCGAAGTCACTGATCTGCTGTACAACGTGACAGGTATTCTCCGACAGGATTCGTTGTAGCTTTGAGAGATGTTTCAAAATTTGCTCACGGACAGCATCGTTCCCAAGCATGATATTGAGATAATCATTTACTGGCATCGCCTTAACAAAAGTAATTTTGGAATTTGCCGGTCTTGCATATATGTATCCCTGTAAAAAGTAAAAAGGACATTTTTAGGATAATATAGCTCATAAGAATACGTTGACTACCATTACCGTTACTGACTGCGACCATTTCGTTGACAAAACGAATAATAATAAACAAGAAAATATAATAATAAACAAGAAAATATAATAAGCAAGAAAATAATACGTGTTATATATATTAATTACAAACGGTCCAGCTGTTTCATTTTTTATCGTCTATTCACCAAGCAGTGAATGCAACGAAGAAATCATTTTCGACGTTTTGCATAACGAAGACATAACGAAGACGTCTGCTTTCAAATTTTGTCTCGCGACATGGATTGCCGACAAAAACTTATGTTTTTGTCGTAATAATAAACAGAAATATAATAAACAAGAAAATATAATAATAAGGAAGAAAATATAATAATAAACAAGAAAATATAATAATAAACAAGAAAATATAATAAAACAAGAAAATAATACGTGTTATATATATTAATTACAAATGGTCATTGATCCACCGGTCGGTTTTGGGTAATTGTGACTAAAGCGTCTGGGTTGGGAAACGCGAGTTCTTCTGTAAACACTGTCGTTTTCATCACCAGAGTCAGGCTGCTGGTTGTAATGTAAAACGGGCTGTTGTTGTAAAAAGATCGTGGCTCTTTACGCTTAACAACACCCATCCATCCTCCTTTTAACAACGTTTTGGCGAGGGCTGGAGCCATGGAAGACCATTCATCGATGATCAATTGTGTGTCTTCCCGTCTCATACTTGGCTGAGAACTGTCCCGTAGTTCATAGTCTCTACGTCAGCCTTCCTCTACCAATGACAATGTGCGGTTGTTTACGTTGTGCTGGTAAATGAAATACCCGTACTTTCTCAGGGTCTCTAATTACAATACCTCGTGATTACATGAAATGTCTACAAACTGCACACACAAGCTTCTAATCTTCAGAAGATGAAGAGGTTGCCAGTCTTTGGCGCTTTCCAGGCCTTACATTGATGGGTTGCTTCTTAATCTTCAGATGAAGAGAATGCCAGTCATTGTCGCCGACCAGGCCTTACATTGATGAGTTGCTTCTTCCTAATCTTCGGATGAAGAGGAAACTAGCACATGTACGCACACACAGAAACAGATATATGTGGAAAGAATTAAAAAAAGAATAATAAAAGACTTGCCCAAGGGAACATTGATATCTGCCTTTCTCGATATGCTCTTGCTTTATCACCCAGGATGAAATATGCCACAATCAGGATCACCATGTTCATCATCATGTTCCTCACCATCAGCATCATGTTCCTCCATCAGCATCATGTTCCTCCATCAGCATCATGTTCGTCATCAGCATCATCAGCATCATGTTCGTCATCAGCATCATCAGCATCATGTTCGTCATCAGCATCATGTTCGTCATCATCATCATGTTCATGGTCGTCGTCGGCATCAGCATCGTCAGCAGCATCATAATCAGCAGCAGCATCATCATCATCAGCATCATCATCATGTTTCTCAGCATCATGTTCATCAGCATTATGTTCCTCAGCATTATCAGGTTCATTCCCATCACCATCATCATCATGGTGCACGGTAAGGTTAGGTCCTCTAGAAAAAAATGAAGAGACTTTCACTAACTTTACCATGTACTTTTATGTTCATTTATTCCAATTTAAAGACTAAATTAGGTAGGCCGGGTTGTTGACACTCACAACTGAATGAAGGTGTTAATTCTGCCATGAAAAAATTGTTCACATAATTTCTGCTAAGTAAACATACGAGGAAATAATTCACGCATACCTTTCAACATCCACCAGCTCTGGTTGGCAAATTTGTCTGGGAAGAACTTGTTTGACTGGAAAGAAAAACAAAAAAGAAAATTTAATATTATGCCATGCAGAAACGCCCCCAACAATTTTTACTTTCATAATCATGAAGACCACATTCACATTATATGTCGGAGCGAAATTGTTGGAAAACGTCACTTTCTCCGCACAGTTTTTAAACAGAGCGAGATGAATACAGAACAGAGCACTTGGCGATTCTTGGAAATCGAGCATCTCAGGTCTCAAAACAACAAATTTGTATGCTTTTTGTTTAAATGTTGCTGATCTTTTCTATATATTTTGGGTTTACACGAGTGTTAATTTCATTTGTGTGCAGTGATTTGTCAATCGATTTAAACAAGAAAAGAGATCAACTTTAGCAAAAGAATACTTCAGTGCAGGGGAAGAGAAAAATTAGTGAACAGCAACGTGGAAATTTTGGTACTCAAATTATTACCTGCCATGTCCTCGTACCATCGTTCTTCTTGCCGAATAAAGTCGATGTTGTTGTTGATCATATCAGCCATCCAAGCAACACAGTCCATAGCATGCTCATAAATCCACTCATAAGCCCCAGGTGTTGGTGACGGAAGGGCATTGGTTTGGTAAACACTACACCTTCTGTAGATACGGTGGTTTTGGTCGCCGTAATTGGTGAATCTGTTCGTGGTTATGTAAAAAGGGCAGTCGAACAAAGCTTCGTGGTCGGGATCACATCCCTGTTCGAGCACAGCTCGCACGGTCCTCGGGGTCATTGCCGACAAATGGTTGGCAATGACCAATTCTGTTTCATAACGTATCATACCGGCTGAGAATTGCCCAAAAGTCGTGACAGAAACGATATTGTCAACCGGCATGATACGGCGAAAAATGGCGGACCAAGAAGTCTTCCCAGAGTTTTTGGGCCCAAAGAAAACCAGTTTTCTGACTTTTTGTGGCATTCGATTAGCCACAGGCACTGATATAACTTGTTGAGCAGCTTGACGCGCTGCTCCAGATCGGGGGAACAAATTGATGATTCCTTCTGCGAAACAGCCAGGATTAGGCGGTGGAAGACAATCATACGGCACAAACGCACGTGAAGACTTTCCACGAAAGTCTTCCTTTCGAAATACGAAAAATTCTCTTGTAGAAATCCGGAATGCACACCCATTCGACACTTCGATTACATCCAGGTCGAAGTCACTGATCTGCTGTACAACCTGACAGGTATCTTCTGACAGGATTCGTTGTAGCTTTGAGAGATGTTTCAAAATTTCTTCCCGGACAGCATCGTTACCAAGCATGATGTTCAGGTAGTCTTTCACAGGCATTGCCTTTACAAAAGTAATTTCCGATGCTGCCGGTCTTGCATATATGTTTCCCTGTAAAAAGTAAAAAGGACATTTTTAGGATAATATAGCAGTGTATCTTCACAACACTTATATGAACGAGTATATTTAACACTTCACGTCATTGAAACAAATATTTATGATAAAATGGTAATGATTATCAAATTAATTTAACCGGCCGTTTTTAGCTAATCCTCGACGCTTCCCAAAATGTTTATGCAAGTTTAAACACAGCTCTCTCGGTCAATATATTTGCATGATATTGCATAAACCGTATATCAGAATTTAAGTTATTAAAATACTCAATGCAATGCACGTAGTTTAAGTGTAATAGCAAACAGGTTAACATTTTTTTGCCCCACCCGGTATATATATAGCTTCTATGGGTACTTATAATGTAGAATAATGAGAAAAAAATTCTCTAACTCAAATTTTGTGAATCAGGGAGGGGGGTGTCTGTTCCAACAAACTAAAAATGGCCTTCTGTAGACACTGTGGTTTTCGTTGCCGTAATTAGTTGGTCTATTTGTTGTTATGTAGAAAGGGCAGTCGGAAAAAAGTTGAGGTTTGTTGGGAACACATCCCTGTTCGAGCACAGCTCGAATGTCCTTGGGGCCATTAAAAATAAATTGTTCACAATGACCAATTCTGTTTCATTCCGTATCATACCGGCTGAGAATTGCCCCTCAGTCGTGACAGAAACAATCTTGTACTTTTCTGTACTTTTCTTACACGTTGTCGTGGTTTAATGGGGACGACAATGGGGAAGACCATTCATCGATGATGATTAATTGTGTGTCTTCCCGTTTCATACTTGGCTGAGAACTGTCCCTCGCTTGTGACGGAAAATATCTTGTCAACCGCGGTATGATACAATGGAAGATGGCAGCCCAAGAAGTCTTCCTAGGAGCGTGCTCTTTCCTTGTCAATAAGTTCTGGCCGGTAAACTGGATTGTTCAGGGCTAGATTAACTGGAAAAAGAAACAAGAAATAAAATTTAATATTATACCACGCACAAATGCACAACATCTTTTACTTTAATTTCATAATTGTTAAGACTACGTTCACACTACGCTAAAATGATAAACACAAAATGTTTAAAATGCTTTAAAACTTGCTTTAATAGATTGGATTTTGCACGAATCCTAATATAATAGTAATAGTGATGTATATTCACAGATAATATAATAATAAACAAGAAAAAGAACCTGCTATACATAATTCCAAATGGTCAAAGATCCACCAGTCGGTCCCAGGTATTGGTGACAAAAGCGTTCGTAATAGCATTGTCGAAATTCCACAAACAGAACAACAGGTTGATAATTCCACAAGTGATTTAACAGAAGCTATAAGAACATTTGAGATGTTTATAAAGAAGATGAATCATATGCTCTATACAAGGTAAAACAATCTGTCCCCACATACCCTTGTGTCCCGTTTTTATATGTAATTAATTAAACATGCAAATAATATACATTAAATTTAAAAACACACACATATATATACCATCCAGAAGATATCCGTTAAATTGTTTACAACATTCTATACATAAACAAATAATATACATTAAATTTAAAAATATTCACATATATACCATCTAGAAGATATGCATTAAATCGTTTACAACATATATATCAACAAATAATATACATTAAATTTAAAAACACACACACTTACTTTTTTTGCAGAGATCGAATTGCGTGTGAGATCATGCAAGGCTCGATCTGAAACCTACCTCGTGACGCCTATTTTGTAGGCTAATTTATATACATAAACAAATAGTATACATTAAATTTAAAAGTATTCACATATATACCATCCAGAAGATATTCGTTAAATCGTTTACAACATATTATATACATGAACAAATAATATACATTAAATTAAAAAATATTCACACATATACGATTCGTTATTGCAATAAAATGATTCAGTTGACGTTGAATACTGTTACCGACTGCTACCATTTCATTGGCAAACTCGTTGTTATGGTCTTTTATGACATTAAAGAGAACATGTGCCATACCCTCGCCGTCCCCACGTTGTCCTGCTTTAATGGGGACGACATCCGCTTCGGTGTCCTCGTTGTGTAACCGGTTAAAAAGAATTTCGTCATTGCACTTATCGCTTGGTGAATACACGATGAAGTAGGAAACTGCTGGAATGATACAATGGAAGATGGCAGCCCAAGAAGTCTTCCTAGGAGCGTGCTCTTTCCTTGTCAATAAGTTCTGGCCAGTAAACTGGATTGTTCAGGGCTAGATTAACTGGAAAAAGAAACAAGAAACAAAATTTAATATTATACCACGCACAAATGCACAACATCTTTTACTTTAATTTCATAATTGTTAAGACTATGTTCACACTACGCTAAAATGATAAACACAAAATGTTTAAAATGCTTTAAAACTGGCTTTAATAGATTGGATTTTGCACGAATCCTAATATAATAGTAATAGTGATGTATATTCACAGATAATATAATAATAAACAAGAAAAAGAACCTGCTATACATAATTCCAAATGGTCAAAGATCCACCAGTCGGTCCCAGGTATTGGTGACAAAAGCGTTCGTAATAGCATTGTCGAAATTCCACAAGCAGAACAACAGGTTGATAATTCCACAAGTGATTTAACAGAAGCTATAAGAACATTTGAGATGTTTATAAAGAAGATGAATCATATGCTCTATACAAGGTAAAACAATCTGTCCCCACATACCCTTGTGTCCCGTTTTTATATGTAATTAATTAAACATGCAAATAATATACATTAAATTTAAAAACACACACATATATATACCATCCAGAAGATATCCGTTAAATTGTTTACAACATTCTATACATAAACAAATAATATACATTAAATTTAAAAATTATTCACATATATACCATCTAGAAGATATGCATTAAATCGTTTACAACATATATATCAACAAATAATATACATTAAATTTAAAAACACACACACTTATTTTTTTTGCAGAGATCGAATTGCGTGTGAGATCATGCAAGGCTCGATCTGAAACCTACCTCGTGACGCCTATTTTGTAGGCTAATTTATATACATAAACAAATAGTATACATTAAATTTAAAAGTATTCACATATATACCATCCAGAAGATATTCGTTAAATCGTTTACAACATATTATATACATGAACAAATAATATACATTAAATTAAAAAATATTCACACATATACGATTCGTTATTGCAATAAAATGATTCAGTTGACGTTGAATACTGTTACCGACTGCTACCATTACATTGGCAAACTCGTTGTTATGGTCTTTTATGACATTAAAGAGAACATGTGCCATACCCTCGCCGTCCCCACGTTGTCCTGCTTTAATGGGGACGACATCCGCTTCGGTGTCCTCGTTGTGTAACCGGTTAAAAAGAATTTCGTCATTGCACTTATCGCTTGGTGAATACACGATGAAGTAGGAAACTGCTGGAATGATACAATGGAAGATGGCAGCCCAAGAAGTCTTCCTAGGAGCGTGCTCTTTCCTTGTCAATAAGTTCTGGCCAGTAAACGATTGTTCAGGGCTAGATTAACTGGAAAAAGAAACAAGAAACAAAATTTAATATTATACCACGCAGAAATGCCCAACATCTTTTACTTTAATTTCATAATTATTTAGACTACGTTCACACTACGCTAAAATGATAAACACAAAATGTTTAAAATGCTTTAAAAACTTGCTTTAATAGATTGGATTTTGCACGAATCCTAATATAATAGTAATAGTGATGTATATTCACAGATAATATAATAATAAACAAGAAAAAGAACCTGCTATACATAATTCCAAATGGTCAAAGATCCACCAGTCGGTCCCAGGTATTGGTGACAAAAGCGTTCGTAATAGCATTGTCGAAATTCCACAAGCAGAACAACAGGTTGATAATTCCACAAGTGATTTAACAGAAGCTATAAGAACATTTGAGATGTGTATAAAGAAGATGAATTATGCTCTATACAAGGTAAAACAATCTGTCCCCACATACCCTTGTGTCCCGTTTTTATATGTAATTAATTAAACATGCAAATAATATACATTAAATTTAAAAACACACATATATATATATACCATCCAGAAGATATCCGTTAAATCGTTTACAACATTTTATACATAAACAAATAGCATACATTAAATTTAAAAATATTCACATATATACCATCTACAAGATATGTGTTAAATCGTTTACAACATATTATATACATGAACAAATAATATACATTATTATATACCATACAGAAGATATCCGTTAAATCGTTTACAACTTATATACATGAACGAATAGTATGCGTTAAATTTTAGAATATTCGCATATATACCATCCAGAAAATATGTGTTAAATTGTTTTGAACATTTTATACGCATGAACAAATAATATACATTAAATTAAAAAATATTTACATATATACCATCTAGAAGATATGCGTTAAATCGTTTACAACATATATATCAACAAATAATATGCATTAAATTTAAAAACACACACTTATTCTTTTTGCAGAGATCGAATCGCGTGTGAGATCATGCAAGGCTCGATCTGAAACCTACCTCGTGACGCCTATTTTATAGGCTAATTTATATACATAAACAAATAGTATACATTAAATTTAAAAGTATTCACATATATACCATCCAGAAGATATTCGTTAAATCGTTTACAACATATTATATACATGAACAAATAATATACATTAAATTAAAAAATATTCACACATATACGATTCGTTATTGCAATAAAATGATTCAGTTGACGTTGAATACTGTTACCGACTGCTACCATTTCATTGGCAAACTCGTTATGGTCTTTTATGACATTAAAGAGAACATGTGCCATACCCTCGCCGTCCCCACGTTGTCCTACTTTAATGGGGACGACATCCGCTTCGGTGTCCTCGTTGTGTAACCGGTTAAAAAGAATTTCGTCATTGCACTTATTGCTTGGTGAATACACGATGAAGTAGGAAACTGCTGGAATGATACAATGGAAGATGGTAGCCCAAGAAGTCTTCCTAGGAGCGTGCTCTTTCCTTGTCAATAAGTTCTGGCCGGTAAACTGGATTGTTCAGGGCTAGATTAACTGGAAAAAGAAACAAGAAACAAAATTTAATATTATAGCACGCAATAATTGTTAAGACTACGTTCACACTACGCTAAAATGATAAACACAAAATGTTTAAAATGCTTTAAAACTTGCTTTGATAGATTGGATTTTGTACGAATCCTAATATAATAGTAATAGTGATGTATATTCACAGATAATGTAATAATGAACAAGAAAAAGAACCTGCTATACATAATTCCAAATGGTCAAAGATCCACCAGTCTGTCCCAGGTATTGGTGACCAAAAGGGTTCGGATTCGGAAAACGCGACTTCTCCAATATATGTGCAGAAAATGTTGTTTTCGTTTCCAAGCATGATATTAAGATAATCACTTACTGGCAGCGCCTTAACAAAAGTAATTTGTGATATTGGCGCTCTTGCATATATGTATCCCTGTAAAAAGTACAAAGGACATTTTTAGGATAATATAGCTCATAAGAATACGTTGACTACCATTACCGTTACTGACTGCGACCATTTCGTTGAGAAAGCAGTTATTGTGGTCTTTGACAACATTAAAAACAGCGAGAGCAGAATTTTGCCGTCCCTACATTTTCGTGATTTAATGGAACGACGTCAGTTTCAGTGTGCGTCATGTAATGTTCGGAAGATGGTTTTCTCGTCGCAAATGTCGCTTTGCGAATAAAATAAGCGACGACAGAAAAAATGGCGTTGTAATTGTCTTCTCGGGAAGCCTTCAACCCGCAGTACCGCTCTGTCAGTAATTAAAACATTGATAATTTCTTTCAAAAAAAATGTTCACTCACCAAACCAAGAATATTCGCACGAAGCGAGTTCTTTACTATTGTTGAATTTATTTGTCTCGCAGGCAATCGAGCTCCCGACATGGTTGAGACAGAACAAGCAAGAAGAGACCGCACCTATTCTTGTGTCCCGTTTTTATATGTAATTAATTAAACATGCAAAATCCTGCAAGTAGAAATAATTTTAATTGCACCCAAGTTGCACTGTTCCTCTCGAACTTGATGTTTATTGCATAAAAGTTGACGCTATTGTATTACTTTCAAGTCGCAGTACCACCCTGTCAGTAATTAAAACATTGATAATTTCTTTCAAAAAAAATGTTCACTCACCAAACTAAGAACATGCGTTCGCAGCGATGTTTTGATTCTAGTTGAATTGAGTTGTTTTGCCGGTAATCGTCCAGACATCGTTTGTACTTGTAGATGTACTTGTACTGGTACTATAGCTTAGACAGGACAGGCAAAGAAGACTGCACCTATTCTCGTTTCGCGTTTTTATAGGTAATTAATTAAACATGCAAAATCCTGCAAGTAGAAATCATTTTAATTGCACCCAAGTTGCACTGTTCCGCTCGAACTTGATGTTTATTGGATGAAAGTTGACGCTATTGTGAGTGTAGTTGACTTCAAAAGCTATGGACTTCACACTTGAAACCGTCTGCTTTCAAATTTTGTGACATGGATTGCCGACAAAAACAATATAATAGTAAATAAGGAAATATAATAATAAGCAAGAAAATATAATAATAAGCAAGAAAATATAATAATAAGCAAGAAAATATAATAATAAACAAGAAAATATAATAATAAACAAGAAAATATAATAATAAACAAGAAAATATAATAAGCAAGAAAATAATACGTGTTATATATATTAATTACAAACGGTCCTGCTGTTTCATTTTTTATCGTTTATTCGCCAAGCAATGAATGCAACGAAGAAATAATTTTCGACGTTTTGCATAACGAAGACATAACGAAGACGTCTGCTTTCAAATTTTGTCTCGCGACATGGATTGCCGACAAAAACATAATATAATAATAAAGAAGGAAATATAATAAACAAGAAAATATAATAATAAGCAAGAAAATATAATAATAAACAAGAAAATATAATAATAAACAAGAAAATATAATAAAACAAGAAAATAATACGTGTTATATATATTAATTACAAACGGTCATAGATCCAGCGGTCGGTTTTGGGTAATTGTGACTAAAGCGTCTGTGTTGGGAAACGCGAGTTCTTCTGTAAACAATGTCGATTTCATCACCAGAGTCAGGCTGCTGGTTGGTTGTAATGTAAAACGGGCTGTTGTTGTAAAAAGATTGTGGCTCTTTACGCTTAACACCCATCCATCCTCCTTTTAACAACGTTTTGGCGAGGGCTGGAGCCATGGAAGGACCATTCATCGATGATCAATTGTGTGTCTTCCCGTCTCGTACTTGGCTGAGAATTGTCCCGTAGTTCATAGTCTCTACGTCAGCCTTACTCTACCAATGCAATGTGCGGTTGTTTACGTTGTGCTGGTAAATGAAATACCCGTACTTTCTCAGGGTCTCTAATTACAATACCTCGTGATTACATGAAATGTCTACAAACTGCACACACAAGCTTCTAATCTTCAGAAGATGAAGAGGTGCCAGTCTTTGGCGCTTTCCAGGCCTTACATTGATGGGTTGCTTCTTAATCTTCAGATGAAGAGAATGCCAGTCATTGTCGCCGACCAGGCCTTACATTGATGAGTTGCTTCTTCCTAATGTTCGGATGAAGAGGAAACTAGCACATGTATGCACACACAGAAACAGATATATGTGGAAAGAATTAAGAAAAGAATAATAAAAGACTTGCCCAAGGGAACATTGATATCTGCCTTTCTCGATATGCTCTTGCTTTATCACCCAGGATGAAATATGCCACAATCAGGATCACCATGTTCATCATCATGTTCCTCACCATCAGCATCATGTTCCTCCATCAGCATCATCAGCATCATGTTCCTCCATCAGCATCATGTTCGTCATCAGCATCATCAGCATCATGTTCGTCATCAGCATCATCAGCATCATGTTCGTCATCAGCATCATGTTCGTCATCATCATCATGTTCATGGTCGTCGTCGGCATCAGCATCGTCAGCAGCATCATAATCAGCAGCATCATCATCATCATCAGCATCATCATCATGTTTCTCAGCATCATGTTCCTCAGCATTATGTTCCTCAGCATTATCAGGTTCATTCCCATCACCATCATCATCATGGTGCACGGTAAGGTTAAGTCCTCTAGAAAAAAATGAAGAGACTTTCACTAACTTTACCATGTACTTTTATGTTCATTTATTCCAATTTAAAGACTAAATTAGGTATGCCGGGTTGTTGACACTCACAACTGAATGAAGGTGTTAATTCTGCCATGAAAAAATTGTTCACATAATTTCTGCTAAGTAAACATACGAGGAAATAATTCACGCATACCTTTCAACATCCACCAGCTCTGGTTGGCAAATTTGTCTGGGAAGAACTTGTTTGACTGGAAAGAAAAACAAAAAAGAAAATTTAATATTATGCCATGCAGAAACGCCCCCAACAATTTTTACTTTCATAATCATGAAGACCACATTCACATTATATGTCGGAGCGAAATTGTTGGAAAACGTCACTTTCTCCGCACAG